AGGGCTGACTTTTGACGCTTGCTTGTCTTCTTCCATCCGTAAGAGTAAAAGTAATTCCGAGAAAGAAGGTGGGATCTCTTTTCTTTGTCCAAGCTGAAGATCACTGATGAGACTGTCCTGCCAACAGCCGCGAAGAAACTGCCGTAACAACTGCTTATCAAATTCTGACGCACTGACACCACCGCGCCGCATAGCTTTTGTCAGACAAACATGTAATCTTTGAAAATAGGCCGATGGTCTTTCTCCTTCATTCTCAAGTGTGTTCATATATCTCGCAAAGAGCTCATCACCATCTTCGACAGCTCCATAAGCAGAATCCAGCACTTCAAGATAATCAGAAGGTTTAGAATTAGGGCCTAAATGTTTGGTGATATCTGTCGCGGGCGGTAACAGGCGTTCAAGTATTCTTTGTGTGCAGGTCAAATCAGAAACAACAGGGTCATTAATGAGAACTTCAACACTTGTGTGCCATGTCTCGTAGTCTGCTTCATTATATGGACGGGGAATGCGCCCTGAGAAAACTCTGAATCGACTAGGTACAGAAGAATGAGAATGCGTTTCACTACTTCGCACTACATGTTCGACCACCACTCGTTGGACACTTGGTGGGTTAAGGTCGAGTGTGGTTTTTTTATGTATCGGCCAGGAAAGATCGATCAGGTTTTGTTTTTCAGTTGGTGTCGGATCATTAGGCTGTGAAGAGTCAGTTGGAGGAGGATTGGGGAAATGGTCACCCTGTGCATGTGCATTTGTTTCAGTGTCATTAGCATGCGCAGAAGCTGGGGAGGACCTAGTGGACACAGTAAGATTAGCTAACTCCTCTTTAAGCATGTCCTCTAACGAATGTCCACTCAGATTGGCCATTTCCAATAGCTGTTTCATGAATGCTCTGGTGACATCACATGCATTTATCTTATACACCTCTGCTAGACTTAATTTCAAATGTGATTTCAGGCTGCGCAGAGCTTTGAAAACTAAGTGGCAAAAGGGGATTTAAAGTGTCCATTGCACTAGTATGACTGAACACTGCAATTATCTGTTGGTGAAACTCTGAATGTGGATCATCAATGCGGATGTGGCGGCTAACTGAGCCGTACTTTTGCAGGTAAGTTGCTACTTCTTCGTCGAGATCACTGTTGGTAAGTCCTTTTATGATTACAGAGTTTGGGATTTTAATGGACTCTTTAACTACGATATCCATTTTTTCTTTTTGGACCTACTATTTGTTTTGATAGTTCTTTTGGTATATTGTTTGTTGAAATGAGTCTCATGCAGTTTCACTATATCTCCTGGCTGGCTGGCTCGCCACTTGTAACACTCACTTTACTTAAGGTAGATTTGACTTAATATAAAAGAGCTTAGGAATTTGGACCAGAAGGTTCGGCTACTTACAGGAGAAGTGAAATGAATGAGACTCTGACAAAGGCTTTAACGTTTTTGACAAAGTAAGTATTTGATAAATAAGAATAAATAAATAAAAGTGTTCAATATTCAATGTGTCAGTACCAACAATGTTCTCTTTAACAACCTTATTTTCACATAACAGTTGTTATCAATTCTTACCTGGGTGCACCCATCTAATATAAATCTGGTTTCACAGTAAATCACAACAATGCATGAACCTTCACAATATTTGCAACAATAAAATAAGAAAACCTTATTCTGGAATTTGATTTCCGTAACCGCACCAAGTCCACTTCCTGTGCGTGTCTGGAGTCCAAAAGTCTTGAATGTAACCGTCAGAAAGAGTCTTCAAAGGGATTGGCTCGCCATCAAAACCGGTTCACCATACACAACCAAAAAAAAAGCCTGACCTGTCAACAACAGCGTCAAAGAAATAATAAGTTTCAAGGTATTTACATTTTACTATCTGTTAGCTCGTTAAAGCATTACTTGTAACATATATTATGTTAACAAAACAGAATAAAAGTATAATCATATAAAAGTATCAGCATTACTGCCAACTGCTATTTTTCATTCATATTTCAAGTATTTGCATAAAGTTACAATCATCTCTTATTTACCAAATAAAACAATAGGGCATTTATAAAACCTTTAAGTATACAATCTCATTCATTTTCTCAAGGTAAAATAAAAAAACAGGTGTCTAAATCATGAACATGGCTTTGCTCACCGATCTCTCATGGGGACAAGGCAGGAGCACAAGATGGCGCCGCCTCAAAGCCCTGATAACCGTCTCTCTGACCAAGAGTACAGAAATAAAATAATGAATTTTTAAACTGGACTTCTCACAATTAAACAAGTAATAGCCAAGATTAGCTTTAAACCATGAATGTGAACATTTCTCACCGATCTCAAAAGGACAACGCAGAGGCTCAATGTGGCGCTGCGGACCTTGACTTTCAACGGCTACAATAGAGAAGACCAGATAAATCTCACAAACTTTTGAACTAAGTGTATATTTTAGCAGTACACGTCTAAAATCACTAAAATCATGTCTAGTGACAACATATGTTAGCTAACTCCTAACTTTAAATCGGTTTTGTACCTTTTTCTGTGGTTTATCCTGTCCAGTATTCAGTTAGGGTGCTGAGTGCTTGTGTCGCGCGCAAGAGACAAAGCAACGGCCTTCTCCTTGACGACTGAGGTGAAGGGGGCGGGACAATGTGCTGTTTCGGAGCACCTCATTGGCTAAGAGAAATGGTGCCGTTTTGCAGCATCTCATTGGCCAAGAGCAAAGGTGCATTTCTCAGAGGATTTAACCCTTAATATGCCAAGAGTTAATTTTGTTTATAAAATAAATGTGTAACTGCAAAAAATTGATAATTTCGTGATAATCATGCCTGATATTTATGTTTTAATAAAGCCATATTTAAATGTGGGTTACACAAGCTTTTACAGTCGGATGCATGATATTTTGGTGAGGGAAAATATTATTCAAATGTTGTCAAAGCTTAAGTGGTGCTAAGACTCCAGTCACATTCACCAGATTCTTATCACACATCAAAGCTGTGTCCTGGACGGTCTATGATGGCTACAATGTCCAGGGAGAAAGAGTGACCAGAGAGAGAGACCAACAATAGAGAGACCAGAGAGAGGGGCCAGAGAGGGGCCAGATACACCAGAACGAGACTAGAGAGAGACACAAAGGAGAGATCACAGGAAGAGACCAAATAGAAACCAGAGAAGACCAAAGCGAGAGGATTTTACCTTTTGTACATGTTTTTATTTGTAGGGGAAACCGGAGCACTCGGAGGTTATCTACACACACTCGGGGAGGACATGCAAACTCCATTCTGAAACGCTCCCAGTTCCGCTGGGATACAAATAAAGAACCTTCTTTCTGAGAGATGAGGGTACTACCCACTCAGTCACTGCCAAATCATAGCCACATTTCATGTAAAACCTGCAATAAATGTGATTTGTGCATGTGATGTCTTCAGAGTGAAAGATTACTATGGCAACCAACAATTACAATTCTTGCAACCCCTTTTGTCTGAGTCTCCTCAGATTTAAATGCATAGAGAACAAACAAACAGAACTTCATAACAACATCATTATAAATATATATCATCCCAAATGTCCTGCATGTGCGCTGCAACATCGAAATTTCCCCACTGTGTGACGAATAAAGGAACTCTTATCTTAAATGTACACAAGCCTAAACTGAGAGAGATCCATGTGTATGCTATACAAGTAGTGACAATCACATTTCAAATATAGGTTTGTGAAAGACCTGGAAATGAGATGAGTTCTTAATCTGCAGCTTTTTCAACTGTATGTATAATGCCTGTGTTTCATACAGCACTTTTCTGGACACCTAAAGTCTCACAACTATATTCATTCATTCCAAACACAGTGGTGATAAACTACTACAGTATTCACGGCTAGCCTGGGGCAAAGAAACAGAAGAGAGGCAACCAGTCTGTTCCATCAGGTTATGTTGTAAATGACAACCCCCCCCCTGAAATGAGAGTTTTGAATCTTAATGGGACTTTCCTGGTTAAATAGATTTGAAGCGTTCTGAAGTCCAAAGTTAAAGATACATTATTAACACACAATAATTTTTACAGACCAATCTTTTTTTTACCTTTTCTATGAATGTGAGATTCCTGATATCTGGAGAGATGCACATACAACACAAACCCAGCGCGACGTTGGGTTTGTGTTGTATGTGCATCTCTCCAGATATTTAAAATCACGCAAATACAATTTCATAACATAAGCCCAACCATTCATATAAATGCCACGTAAGATTCTGAAAATCTGCACTTGACACATAAAAATTTACCCCCAGCAGAGCCACATACAACAGGATTTAGATTTCTGCCCACACGTCACACGTCAAAATACCAGATTGCAACCTCCAGCTTCGTACCTGGAAAAATTTATTTTCAGCATTAGAAAACTTTTCCTGGATATTAGAATCCATGATGTATGAGTCAGGGGGACATTAGATATTCCCCTTCACTTTCAAGTAAGGAATGGAGACCACCCCTGAGTGTGTGTGTGTAGTATTAGCACATGCATTACAATCGGCAGACATAGAATGGAGGATACAGAGATGGAGTAAGGTGACAGCGCCGAGTCCTGATCCACGATGAGACTGTCGTTATTGTTTGGATTAAAAAGGGACGATGCTATTTTGGGAGCTACCTTCAGTGAGAGAAATGTTTCAAATGTTAGACACATTTGGAATTAGATGTTCGACTGAACATAGATGTGGCCTTTGGCTCAGTGCATAAATGCCAATCTCTTCCCCCATTGCCGCATTTACATGTTTTAAAATGTTTGCTCTCTATTGGGAAAATGGAATCTGAATTATGTAACCAAGAGCATTCAAGGCTTTGTAAGAAACTAGCATATCAACATCAACAAGACATGGTAGTATACTGTACTTGTACATTTCCCTACTGTGGGACTAATGAAAGCTATCGTTCCTTCATATTTTATTGCTTCCAAAGACAAATTAGTGTTTTCCATTTGCCAAGACCTAATAGAATCCAAAGCTGACGAGCTGACAAAGAAGTCTACTGCACTTACCACTCATGCTGTGGTTCGTCAATGACCAGAAGGATCTTGAACTTCTTGGAGAGCGAAGGAGAAGGTGCGGACTGCTCCACGAACCCGGCAGCAGAGGCAGCTGTCTGTTTGACCACGTTTGTGATGGAGCTGATAGAGCTGAAGGAGCTGAAGAATCCTCCAGAAGCAGAGGAGCTGGGCTGGCCTTGCAGCTGTTGTCCCTGCTGGGATGCACGCCTCTCCTGGCTGGAAGGGGGACCGGAGGGCACCTGGGCAGTGGCTTTGGTCGGGGATTGAGCCAGAGGAGGTGCACCTTGCGGGGCTGGGGTAGAAGTCGGAGAGGTTGAAGCGGGTGGTGGTTGTGCGGAAGGATCTGGGCGCTGAAGATCAGACATGTAGCCGTTGGGAAGATTGGACATGAAGCTGCTGTCCGACAAGCGTCGACGAAGGAAGTTCATGGCTTCACTCTTAGCTGGACGACTAACACGACTAACACGAATGCAAAAAGACTGGACGGATGGATCAATGTCAAAGACAAGGGCAGGCTGCTGAAAGCACAAAACCACAGCTGTTTTTGCTTTGAATGGATGTAGTGGAAGCAATCACGCTCCAGTCCTCGACACTACAGTTCTCCTCCAAATCACACACGAGCACAGGGAGCGCGCGTCAGTGTGGTGTCCCTCCGCCTCCCCCGGTACGCGCGTGTGACGTAAGCAACACAGAAAGAGATGGGGAGAGGTGTGTCAGCCTGCGTCGTGGTCTCTCCTCCTCCACCCTTCCTCCTCCTCTGCTCCATGTTTATCTCACGCTCTCAGCTCTCTCGCTGCATCATCCGTGGGCACACACACACTGTTTTCCCTGTCCTCTCTCCTCTCCCCTCCCCTCTCTCCTTTCCCCTCTCTCCTCCCTCCTCCCCTCCCCGCTCTGCTGCTGTCATCTCTCTTCCACATCACAGGCATGGATATGCATGTGTGTTCGAGCCGCTACAGGGGAGGCGTGCCGTGTGCAAAGAGAGGAGAAGGGATTTCCTGCCTCAGCTGAAGGTGGAGGTCGCAGATTGGAGAAAAAGCCACAGACCGCAGTTTTCCTCCTGCAAAGCTTCAAAACATTATATTGTCCTTTTCTGCACACACGTTCTGGGCATCTAAGCCATAAAACTAAGAATAAAAGTGGTGTAGTACAATCTATTAGAATGGATGGAAATATGCCAGATTAACTGGATTAAATCTCTTAAAGCAGGTGATGCCAAAATACATGCATGGCCAGAGCGAGTGAGAACAGAGAAAGAGAACAAAGAAAAAGAGATCAGAGAGAGACCAGAGGGATAAACCAGACAGAGAGACCAGAGGATCAGTGTGAGAGAGCAGAGAGAGAGACCTGAGAGATACAGTGCCTTGCGAAAGTATTCGGCCCCCTTGAACCTTTCAACATTTCGCCACATTTCAGGCTTCAAACATAAAGATATAAAAAATTTATTTTTTGTCATGAATCAACAAGAAGTGGGACACAATCGTGAAGTGGAACTTCACTTTTTGAACAAATAAAAAGCTGAAAAGTGGGGCGTGCAATATTATTCGGCCTTTTTTACTTTCAGTGCAGCAAACTCACTCCAGAAGTTCAGTGAGGATCTTTGAATGATCCAATGTTGTCCTAAATGACTGATGATGATAAATACAATGCACCTGTGTGTAATCAAGTCTCCGTATAAATGCACCTGCTCTTTGATAGTCTCAGGGTTCTGTTTAAAGCGCAGAGAGAACCATGAAGACAAAGGAATACACCAGGCAGGTCCGAGATACTGTTGTGGAAAAGTTTAAAGCCGGATTTGGATACAAAAAGATTTCCCAAGCTTTAAACATCTCAAGGAGCACTGTGCAAGCAATTATATTGAAATGGAAGGAGTATCAGACCACTGCAAATCTACCAAGACCCGGTTGTTCCTCCAAACTTTCATCTCAAACAAGGAGAAGACTGATCAAAGATGCAGTCAAGAGGCCCATGATCACTCTGGATGAACTGCAGATAACTACAGCTGAGGTGGGAGAGTCTGTCCATAGGACAACAATCAGTCGTGCACTTCACAAATCTGGCCTTTATGGAAGAGTGGCAAGAAGAAAGCCATTTCTCAAAGATATCGATAAAAAGTCTCGTTTAAAGTTTGTCACAAGCCACCTGGGAGACACACCAAACATGTGGAAGAAGGTGCTCTGGTCGGATGAAACCAAAATTGAACTTTTTGGCCACAATGCAAAATGATATGTTTGGCATAAAAGCAACACAGCTCATCACCCTGAACACACCATCCCCACTGTCAAACATGGTGGTGGCAGCATCATGGTTTGGGCCTGCTTTTCTTCAGCAGCGACAGGGAAGATGGCTAAAATTGATGGGAAGATGGATGGAGACAAATACAGGACCATTCTGGAAGAAAACCTGTTGGAGTCAGCAAAAGACCTGAGACTGGGACGGAGATTTATCTTCCAACAGGACAATGATCCAAAACATAAAGCCAAATCTACAATGGAATGGTTCACAAATAGACGTATCCAGGTGTTAGAATGGCCAAGTCAAAGTCCAGACCTGAATCTAATCGAGAATCTGTGGAAAGAGCTGAAGACTGCTGTTCACAAACGCTCTCCATCCAACCTCACTGAGCTCGAGCTGTTTTGCAAGGACGAATGGGAAAGAATTCCAGTCTCTCGATGTACAAAACTGATAGAGACATACCCCAAGCGACTTACAGCTGTAATTGCAGCAAAAGGTGGCGCTACAAAGTATTAGCGCAAGGGGGCCGAATAATATTGCACGCCCCACTTTTCAGTTTTTTATTTGTTAAACAAGTTTAAATTATCCAATACATTTCGTTCCTCTTCACGATTGTGTCCCACTTGTTTTTGATTCTTGACAAAAAATTAGATTTTTATATCTTTATGTTTGAAGCCTGAAATGTGGCAAAATGTTGAAAGGTTCAAGGGGGCTGAATACTTTCGCAAGGTACTGTAAGAGAGAGAGACCACAAAGAGAGGCCTGAGGGAAAGAGAAGTGAGAGAAACCACTTCTCTCTCCCTCAGGCAAGACTTCTCTCTCCCTCAGGCCTCCCTGTGCTTCTCAGAATTGCAGCAGGAGGCCACTCCCTGTGTCCTTCAGAGTCCGAGTTGGTCAATATGGCATTAAAATCTCACCAATGTATCTTGGTGCGAGACCCTGGATAGACTTACATCAGCAGAGCTATAAAGTTTATTCTCTGAGCCACAGCAAGCCTGTGCATGGACCTGAGACCTGGACTAATGTGAGAGGACATCAGGACAGAGACTTGAGACCAGGAAGGAATATACTGTATCTATAACTGAGGCTGCAGATCCAGGAATCTCTATTCCAACTGTCAGAAGTTGGAAAAGAGAGTAGACACAGATTTCATCTTGTTTCTTAGTAGCTTCACTGCAGAATCACTTTCCAAAAGAAATGGATAATGTTGGTGAGTCAGTAGTAATGCATTCTACTATTGTCCGGAGCTAAACTTTTTTGCTCAGAAATGATGCTTGAAATTATTGCTTGTAAAGCCGTGAGGGGGGCGAGAGGGGTAGAAGGGAGGGGGACAGACGTGGAGGCAGGGGGAGGGGGTTTACTGCTTTTGTTGAGTCAACCTGAAAAGTGCGTGAGTCACTGCCGTCCTGCTCTACATGTGTCAAACAAAAACAACAACATGCTAACGCTTCCTCGCGCCAAGACGTTACACAACAGTCTGTACAAGCTAGTGAGTCACAAACAAAGAGACAGGGTTTCCCCCCCCCCACACACACACAACATACATACTTGCATACATGGGTTTCTGGTCGACGTCACAGGCAAGTTGCGCGCGCAGCCTGGGGGGTGCACGAAGCAGCGGCATTGGCGACGTCACGACAGGATGAGAAGTTGTTGTGCTGTAAATTGCGCAAATAGAAGCGATAATGGGTGGCGTATGTTCAATATCCCGAGAGGACGTCACCCATTTGCCCAAAACAGAAGAAGATTGTGGCTTCGGGCAATTAAAAGAGCAGATTGGAGTTTGAGTGGACCTAAAACTGGAATGAGCATTTGTGGAGTACACTTCATATCTGGTAAGTTTGTGTGTCCTACAGTAGCTAATAATCCAAATGTCCTATCCATAAGTGATCACTAGGTTACATGATGTCGCTAGATGTAATCTTGTTCAGTCAAGTTAAAGCTAGCTCACTTTTTGCGCTGCTATAACAAACAAACAGCTAATATTGCTAAAATGCTAACCGGAGGCTAATGGCGATTAGCAATTTGCTAAATAAGTAGTTAGTTAGCTAGGGAGGCTCTTTCGTTTTTGTCTGAGAGAAACAGCCTCCAAGTAACTAAACAGTTGTCACTAGGGGTGCGTACCGATGTTCCCCGGGTCCGATGTTCCCCGGGTCCGATGTTCCCCCACTTCTATGGCGGGGGAACATCGGCGGGGGAACATCGGACCCGGGGAACATCGGTACTTCGCGTATTAAAAAGTCCCGATGTTCCCCGGGTCCGATGTTCCCCCGCCTATAGAAGTGGGGGGAACATCGGGACTTCAACAACGAGACTAGTGCCGCTGTTCCCCGCGTGCGCGCTTTGATGTTTGATGTTTCCTCCTCCACGAAAGATGGCATATGATCCGTGCCAACTTTTGTGAGAGAAAAAATACTAACTAGCCTAAGCCTATTTACTTTTCTTTTTCCCTCTCGCTCTTTGTGTGCTCATATTTCAGCTGATCGCAGCTTGAGTCTATGCAGGATATTTTTGGGCATGTTATCTCCCCTTGCTCACTCTCCCATGGGCATCTATATTTGACAAGTCTGACTGAATAAAATGAGGACGATTGAAACTAGAGCTACTACATCTGTTAGCCTATAGTTTTTCCAAATACGTGGTTTTGCTGAGGGCACTGTGCTTTTACGCATAATGGACACGCATATGACGTCGTTTTTGTTGTAAAACTTGAATATGCTCTTTTAGTTTTAGAGATATTAATACATATTATTCGATTCAGAATGCGTGCGTCATTGTGCATTGTTGTCCCGCCTTACGTGTCACTCACAGTTAAAATGTAAATAACCAATTCAAACATAGCATTTTTACAACTTGAGCTTTAAGAAAAAAATGATCAAAGGAATCAGTGTAAAATAAGATCGGAAAAGCTCAATTCATGATTGTTTAATTAGGTTTCCCATTTTTAAATACAATTGGAAACGCTCAGAATTCAAAAATATTGAAAAGTGTATTGGCTCCTACAGTGGGGGGAATAATAATAATAATATAACCCCCTGAGCGTCATCACGTTCCTACGTTGCTTCAAGTCCTGTTTATTGGCTGAACAATTTTGTCCAATATCATATTACACAGCGTGAAGCGAGAACAACCAGCTATTCCTCGTCTTAAAGATTGACAACGCTCTCAAAGCATTCACAACAGAGCAGCCTTT